ACTTTTATAAAGAATATCTCTTTGGATTTGAGACTTTAGTCTTTGCAACTTTACAGATCTTCTTTATGCACCAAGAGCTTGTAACACTCCAAAGAGAAAGGAAAAATTTAAATCGCATCATATGACCCCTTTAAAAGGGGGGTGTCCCAATACTTGCAATATAGCAATAAGGCATACTGGTTTGGACAACACAGGAAATATTCTTTTTTTTCACTGAACAAATACTTAAACACAGTATGTTGTGACATTAAAATAAACTTGCAAGGAACTTCAAATGTCTCCAGTGTTTAAGCTTCTGTACCCGTGGGGACCACAATTTTGGTCCCCACCGTGACACGAGTCCCCATGAGTCTGTGTGTAGTCAGGTTTAAGTCCCCACCAGGATATATAAACCAGTACACACAGTTGGGTGTGCGCGATGTGACGATTACAGGAATGCCCCCAAAATAAAGCTTCAAAATTAAAGTCCTTTGAAATAAACAAACAATAATAAATAAATAAACGTTTAAAGATTTGTGTATTATATATTGCAATACTTTTGAAGCATCTTTAAAGATTTAATTTACTTAATATACATAAAAGCATGTTATATAAATAGTATGCATTTATGTATTTTAAGTAAATAAATGGGTGCGTTCAATCTTTAGATTAGTGTATATACTGTTACAAAGCTATTTTTTCAATATTAAAACAATATATTAAATATGGCAAATAAATAAGTGCCTTTATGCTTTTGAAGATTAAACTTTCAAAGAATAGTGTTATACATTGTACATTGTATAAGAGTAGACTACAATGCCGGCTGTTCTGACTCACAGACTGTAAGGAAGGTTTTTATATTTAAGAATTTGCCACTGATGATTCAAACGCGAGTTTTGAGCAGTGTAGAGTAGCGCTTGTTTGTCATTTCTCCGATCACAAATGCAGACATGGTTTTATGTTTACGTGGTAAAAAAAAAAAAAGAAAAGTTATCAATATAACTATAAATGACTTGTATAAGCATAAAGTAATTCACCCAAATAATTAGTCTCACTTTAAAAATCGAAAAAACCAAGATCGCATTAAATGAATGAGAAGTTTCAGTTTTGGATCAGATTGTATCATGTTTTTCATTTTTTTAATTGCACAAAAGATGAACTTATAGCTCATGGCTTAATATTTCAAAAGAAAAACAAAAAAAAGTTACACCAGCAATCAGATTTCACAAGTTGCATACGAGTCACACAACACTTGAGATGTTTACAGTAATTAAAATAATGCCTTCATCATAACAGGTACACTAGCTTCACCTTCCACAAAAAAAAAAAAAAACACGGAGATGTTGATTTGCTCACAAACTCTCTCACAACAACAAAAACAAAACAGCTCCCTCTTATCATTCAAATACGATGAATTACTTGATGACAAAATACATAAATCAATAACTTCAAAATCACAGACATTCACACACATTCTACACTACAAAATAGTTTTTAAATATTACTAAAATTTAAAATGAGGTACAAAAACTTAAAACTTTTCACCACTGAATGATGGTGTTTAGACTCTCTTTAAGGCATAAACTCACTTCAGAGGACGTGTCGATGCATAGCAATAAGACGCCAGCTGAAACAATGGCTGCACACAAAGCTGCATGCAACTACATACACTTAAACAAAGGGGCATTATAGGGCATTATACATATATATATATATATATAAAAAAATAACGCTGATAGTCTAAATGAACAAAAAATGCAGCCCTGAAATAAAGTTACAATCAGATCTGTTGACCATACGCACAAGAACGCATCACGTTCATACAGAGCTAAAATGATCTTTCATGTGATGAACAGAATGATCTTGTAATTATTTGCTCTACAGCATACTGTGGTGTCAGGTTCAACTGATGTTGTGCAATAGCTGATACGAATATATTACTAGCATGAATGTTAAGCAATGGAAGCATAATGGAAAGTTGATTTTATGTGGAAGACAAAATTGACACCCAGGGATCTACAGTGAGCAAAGGCTGATCAATTTCTGAATAATCTCATAGCTTGTTCTATCCACTGACATTATATGCTGCTGCATAGAAATGTAACATCTGTATCATAGATCATATAATAATATTCCTGACTTTAGAATTAGGAATTGACTTCTAAAATTCAAGCCATGTTTAAAAAGCTGAAGTGTCAAAAAAATTCTATCCCATCTTAATATGCAGATATAATGTTATAAGCAAGTCATCTGTAGGTTGATGTTTTTTCCTAAACGTTTAAACACTGAATTTGAAAGCAATATTTAATACTGAAATACAATTTTGAAACGATGGTAGTGATTAGGAAATCTAGTCTACTAAACCGTTACAATTACACAGTTCAGCTTCAAATCCACCAATATTAAAAATGATTTCTGTCAGTCTAGATGTTTAATTAGCAACGAGCTCTAAGAATTGTGCTGTAGTGCATTATGTAAAGGAAATGTTATAAGGAATGATCATATTATTGTAGAATCACTGCAACACAACATTTACACACACATTTTGCCTGCGTTTCCTAATTATGTCTTTAGTTATGAAGAGTGCTGCATTCAGATCAAACGAAAGGATGTGGAAAATAGGTGTTTTATAAGAGCAATTATCATAATTAAAGGCAATGATAACTGGGTGATAATTTTTCTCTGTCAATTAATACGCAAGGTTATACGAAGTACAAAAAAAAAAAATAGGAGGGTATTTTTAAAAGCATGCGCCACTTATTCTGGTCACATTAACGGAAAGATAAAAGTTAAAGGAAAATTTTCTGGAAGAAACTTGGTCTCTGCTTTTTTGTTAAAGACATCAAATAAAAACCATCAATAACAAAAGAATGAGTGCCTTAAAGTTTCAAGCATCTACTGTTTTCGCTTGCTATTATGGAATGGCATTGAGGGGGAAAATCAAACAGGGATATATTAGTGAACAGACACTGCTTTGTATCCAAAATAAAATCTACTTACGCAACAGTGCACAGTAACCTTTGATTAAAGTGACCTACATAATGTTCAGTTTACTAGCATTATGAGGGCTAACTAACTAGTCTATATCTATATCTTGTCTCTAGGCAACTGGTATTATTTTGTTTTACAATTTTTCTTTTGAATAAACAAACATTAGGTATGAAGCATAGTGAAAAACCTACATTTAAAAATGTAAATGTCAGTCAAGTTTCATCCAGTCTAAAGCTCATGGTCAGGCCCGTCTCTGAGGGAAAGAGTCATGTTGTTGAAAATTAAATAATGAGAACATTAAAAATCAATGCAAAAATGCCCTGATGTGTATGTATATAGGGACATCACTGTGTCCTAAAGCTTTTGAGGCAAAAGAACGTGAGAAGGCCTAAACTAGACGAATGGCAGCACATCCATCAATAGGTCCTGGGTTTTGGACGAATCTAAAGCAAAGTTCACAGGTCAGTCAATTCTAGCCTCATTTTAAGTCCAGGGTTTACTTGGAGCCCAAACATGTCAATGTATGTCATGACCTAGTCCAGCTGGGCACAAGTTTGAAAACAAGCACAGCTGGCTCGTATTGAAGTCCAGGTGCTGAGATAGTCCTTTAGTGTCCGAGTTTGTATTTAGGTCCTCTGCTATCCAAGCTGTATCTGTCCAGAGTAGATGGTCAGGACAAGCATGATGGCAAACCCTGTGAGCAGCCCTGCGTTCTGGATGGCAAAAGTTAACAGAGAGCCACTTCCTCCGGCCTCCTCTTCCTCACGACTCGCCTCATTCATCGCCGGAAACTGCAGACAAAGGAATATGGAGGAATATGGATTGTAAGAAAAATGATCAAATCAACAGCATCAGTTTTGGGATAATGCCATTGTCTGTTTTCATAGTTATCAAGTTTCTTATCCTCCTGCATTCATTTGATCAAAAATACAGTTAAAAACGATATTGCTAAAAACTTAAAATAAATGTTTTCTATGTGAACATATTTTAAAATGTAATTTATTTCTGTGATGGCACATGATCCTTCAGAAAATATTACAATATACTAAAAACGCAATATTGCTGCTCAAGAAACTTATCAATGCAAAAATAATATTTTTGTGAAAACCATGATACACTTTTTCAAGATTGGTTAATAGACAGTTTAAAAGAACAGCAATTATTTGAATTATAACATTATTTACGAAAGTTACTTTTGATCAATTTAAATTGTGCTCGCTGAATAAAATTATTTGTTTATATATGCATTTTTTTATTTTAAGCTAGTACTAAATAACTAATAATTCTATTAAATATGTATTTTAGCTTTAGTAACTAATAATTTCTTTATAAAAAAAAATCAGTCACACAGCCATCTGCAGGTAGAATGTATTTTCCCACACAAACATGCAGGCCAAACGATTTTTAAAAAATTATTATATTACTATAGTTTTTAAGTTTAGGTTTACATGTACATTAAATGATTTTACTTCGCAAAAATGTATTTAATCAAATACTTTTCTTAATTTTAGTAAACAATACAGGGTTTACGCAGGTTTTATGAAGGTGAAAGAACAAATATCTGCCAATGGGCTTGGAAAAGTCAACTTAATTCACACAGAAAAGCTATTTTCATACCGCAGTCAGACATTTGTTTGCTTTCTAAGAATAAACTCATTTAATTTTGATCAATTTCTCAGAAAACAAGACTTAATTTCTTCATTTTATGTCTTAAGTAAATGTATCTTGACTTAAGAATGTTTAGATATTTGATATTCTGGAAATCAAAAATACTGAGGAACATATTCTCTTTTTTTTTTTTTTTGCAGTGCATGCAACATTTAATGCCATGACTTTGAATTTAAGACTTTCCGCTCTGATTTAAGACCTTTGTAAAGTCCCCCTGTAGTGAAAATCAAGTTTTTTATG